GATGCCCCTTCACGATGCACCTCAGCGAATTCAACACGATTGTTGATCAACTTATCTCCGTGGACATCACGTTTGATGATGAAGTGCAGGCCCTATTGATTCTATCACAGTTGCCAGATAGTTGGGCAGGTTACGTGACCGTAATCAACAACTCGACGGGGAAGGAGAAGTTTGTGATGCTCATGCTTTCACACATGGCTACAGTCCAAGGTGAACACAGAGATGTCAAACCTACCATGCACTCACACTGTGCAATAACATGTTTCACCAATCACAGTAATATCCTCTAGTGAAAAAAATAAAAGCGTAGGTACAAAACAGGCAAAGAAATGGAACAACAACAATAGACGTGATAAAGAAAGAAAGATATCTCATAAATAAATGTCATGTCTCGACTGTGAATAAACTGAAATACATCTGGAGTTTGAAATAACATAAGATGTCTCAACATGAATCAAAATAGAAAATCGTACTAAGACACACTACCTTTACAATATAAGATAAACTCTAGGATCTGAACAAAATATAAAACTACGATGGAGCCTCTAATAAATCTCATGTGACGGTGACTATGCAAGAACGCTGTCATCTTGTGACTCTCCGGTACTCCGAGTTACCTGAAAGAATATTAGGAGAAAAAGAACAACAACAAGAGCGTTAGAGCGCTATAGCAAGATCATCTCTATCCGCCCCCAGGGAAAGGGCTACTAGGTATAATGGAGGCTCTACCTATAAGTGCATAGTCTACCTAGTTCATTTACCATGTACTAAACTGGGGTTAATACTTAGAAACTCACAACATGAGACTGGTACGTCGAGCGAAATAATCCAAATAAGGAAACCATCATATATATACAATATGTCTCTAATTGTGAATCACTAAATATTAACTCCAAAACTAAGAATAAATAAAAACAAGAAAGGTGATACAGGAAAAACTACATCATACATCTCCAAAAAAATGTCATACTCCTCATACTACCATTAGTGGGCAAAACCGATATCGATATACTATCTCGTGTAACTAAATTGTGAAATACCTTCACAATGGATCATATTGATGATATCAATATTCATCTACACTTAGGTTATTTATCAAATCGCCCTTCTCTGGAACTCTTCAACCCATCGCACCCTCGTGCGGACCGGTAAATAGATATGTCAAGTCATTGCACTCCCATGCGGATCAATAACCAGCTATACATGCGGATCAATAACTAGATATACAAGTTCATCGTACTCCCGTGTGGACCGATAACTAAGTATGTCAATTCATCGCATTCTCGTGCTGACCAGTAACTAAGTATAATAACTCATTGCATGACCATGCGGACTGATAGTTAGGTATATCAACCTCTGCATATCTTCATGTGGATCGATAAATAGGTATATCAACCTCTATGCATCTCCATGCGGACCGATAAAGGAGTGTAGTCCATCTGCGGTCTTATTGCAGGACCCGACTATAGCACTCGGAGTGTAGTTCATCCGCAGTCTCGTTACGAGGCCCGACTAAACCCCACCCAACTGTTCATAATTATAACATGTATACTATAATAGTTGTTACTCTTACACTATTTGGATACCCCAAAGATGACATTGTGCGTACTCAAACCAAGTACGTGTACTCCTCAAAATATGTGTATAGAACATCGCACGACTTGCACTACTCACTCACAAATCACACCCACAAATAAAAGAAACAAACTTCTCATACAAGACCTGATAAGTCGACCGATAAAGAGCTTCGGTCGACTAATCGGCCGCGTGCAACAAGACCGATTGTTCAGCATATTATATCAGCAGTAATCTAGTCATATCAACGATATAATACGCATGACTTATTAATATTGCATAGTTTATTATCATTCGCCAGTAATAGTATCAGTAAACATTACATATGTTTATTATCACTTATCATCAAATCAACTATATAATTATTTTCACTTCACCACATCAAGATAGTTTTTTCAGAGCAGCACTTAGTACACCACATATAACATCATTATAAGTCAATCACAACTTGTAGATTCACAAGTTCTTTTCACGTACACATTACATCATAAATATTAGCCTAGCTAATTTAATATCACTACATATTAGGTTAGGTTAGCAGCATTTACAGTAACTATTGTCATAGTTATCTTATATATGATGTTTTCGGGTCGTTATATCTCATTATTATTCATGTCTAGCATAGTCACATTCGCTTTCATTTTATTATTATATTCGCCAATCTATTTTCTTGTATTGCACGCTCATGAATTTACTTAGCATACATATTTATTCTGAATAAATCATGTGAACTCATGGATCTAAGATTTAACGTACGAATTAACTAAACTTTTGTTTATTTAGACAATCTAAAGCATATAAACTATATTAAACTGTAAGCATGATTGCCGAACAACTTAGAAAAGATACACAATCATTTAATCATGTTTTAACACTTAGATATCACAAACCTAGGGTTATCTCATCTTTAATCCACATGTAAACTCAATTAAATGTCAAATCAAGGTTTAAACATGATTAGAACATGATTAACAAGTTAAAAACAAAATTTTGAAGAACCCTAATGATCATGATCATAAAACTATCATAAACAGCAAGAAAACCATGTAGATCTAATATTTGTTTAAAATCTAATAACAAAAATCTAATCTTTTTCACATTAGATTAAGATCTAAGCATCATACTAAACATAGTACTTCATAAAACCATGTTTTAAACTATGGGTAATGTTTGGATGTAGATGATCTTACCTTAATCTCATGTGCAAGCCTCTGAAACAAACATCAAGCAATCTACGAGCACAAACAACCCGTTCTCCCTTACCACACGTTGAAAATATTGCCCTCGTATCGGTATTGTGCTTCACAAAGCTCTCAAAATTCATAAAAAAAAGATCTAGGATTTTTGAGTGAAGAGGGTAGCTGATAGAGTTCATAGATATGATAAAAAAGTGGAATTTTTGTGAAAAATATAGGTATATATAGAGGCAACCCCGAAACAAACATATTTGA